CCTCCCCCCTGCAGGAGCCATCTCATGGCTGTCTTGAGGTTTTTACTTATTTGGAAAATGCTTAAAGATTTCCCCCTCCCTTCCTACCTCTGCATCTGAGTAGTAAAAGGGCTATTGTGGATCCTCTGGAACCTCCCGGAAGGCTGGTTGGCCTCCTTCTGTCGGTCTAGATGCCCAATGTGGGGCAAGGGCAGTTGAGCAGACTACAGGTCCTCCTGCCCCTGGCAAAGCCATCATATCCCCTGGTGGCACTTCTTGGAAGGTGCAGTGTCTGTAGTTGTCTTAGCAGTTGAGGGCCAGCCCTGTGTGCCCATCACTGGTCTGGACCGTAAGGGGCCATGGTGCTGCTTCCTCACTCCTGGAGCAAGAAGGCTGCGGGCATCAGAACCCTCTGGGAGGCTCCGGTCTTTCTGTTTGCCTTTCCTGCCTAGCTCTCTTTGGTTGGGACTGGTACAGACACTTGCAAAACAAGAAGGACCTAATAAGGCTCAATTACGATGTTAAGGCACTCGATTAATCATTTACAAAGTCCAAGCCGTGCAGGTGAAGGTTTCAGGTGCCAGAATGGGGCTGACTGAGAATTGGAGCCTTCACCTGAGAAGGCCTGTACTCACATTTCCTGCAGGTCATCCCTGCCCTGATCTCTATGGGAACTGGAGCCCCACTTGCCCATTGCCTATCCAGGACCAGGTTTCTGAGTAGCCCATGTGAATGTCACCTCTGGGGCTGTACAATACAGTAGTCCTAGATCCTGGGACCAAGGGAACTACTGGTTGGTGTGTCTGGTGGCCAAGGTTGCAGTGGGCACTGGTGGCCCTGGAGAAGACCCCAGAGCTTGGTGGACAGGCCTGGCATCGGTCATCTATCTTTTCTGCTTCCAGCTTGAAGGCAAGAAGGTGGGAGGTGCCCCTGCCAGAAGCTGCTCAACTCTTCCCAAAGCTGCTGTGCACCTGAGACCCAGGGCTTCCTGGGCCTTTCTGACCTACCCTGGGCTCCTAGGCCACATCTGTGTGCTCATGCACCTCTCCCTGCACGTTCCCCACCCCACACTGTGTTTGCATCCATGTGGCAAAGCTTTGGGTGCCTGCCCCTCTACAGGCCCCACATCAGACTGGGGCTGAGAATACTGAGGGTTGGTTCAAACGGCTGACTGCAGGCAAGAGAGGCAAGCCAGTGTAGGGTCCCCTGGATCTGACCCCCACTCCACCTGTAGTCCCCTGGGAATAGTCCCTTCTTCCCTGGGGCCAGTTGAATAGGGTGGTCTGAGACACTAGATAGCCAATGGGGAATGAGCCTTTTGGCGCTGATGCTGATGGAAGGAAAACAATCCTTAAGACCCTGCCCCTGTCAGGAGCTGGAACCCAACCCCGGTCCCTAGACTGGCCACAGGGGGGCACTTGATCTCCAAGAAGCAGCTCAATCTGAGCAGCCACAGCGGGCACGAGAACCTCTTCCCAGGTTGAGCACTGACTGCTACCAACGCACCTGGAAATGTGGTGCCTGTTACCATCCCAGCCCCCACATTGCTCTTTTGACCCCTCTCCCTTTTATCCTTCTTTTTAAAAAGGTTTATGTTTTTAAATAGCATTCCATTTACAGAAGTTGAGAGAAGAGTTGCCAAGATGGTAGTTTCTGTAAACGGTTTAACATCTTATGTAACCATAGTTCTGCCCGCTTTTTGTCTTCTGCTTGGCTGCAGAGGAGGCAGTTGCCAGGATGGCCCATCGCTGGGTGTGGAACACCTGGGTTGGGGCCACCTCTGCCACAGCTCCTGCTGGGTGACTTGCACTGCCAGCTAAGCCTTAGTGCACAGGGGCCCCTGAGCTTCAAGTACTGAGTGGCCCAGGACCCAGGCAGCATGGGGTGCCAGCCAGGATAGTGCACGAGTTCTCAGGCAGAGTCCCCCATTGGGAAGTGGGGAGTGACAGGGGTGGTAGCAGAGCAGAAGGCCAGGAACAGCGAGGCTGTCGGGTGGGTGGGGATCCTGGGGCAGAGACTAGGCTGTGCAGCTCAGTGCATCCTCTGGAGATGCAGTACCCTGGACCCTGCACCTAGAAGATGCAGTTGTAAAATTTCTGGGCCCCACCGCAGGTGCTCTGAAGAACTGTGAGGCCTACCTTAGGGGTTTCTCCTGCGCTAGTCATCCCCGCTTTGGGCGACTGAAGCAAGGAAAACGCAGGTCACTCCCACCTCCAGACCCGCACTACTTCCCATTGCCCATCCTCCCAACAGCCCAGGAGCAGAGATTCTGTCCTCAGCTAAAGGTGAAAAGGTCCTAAGGCTTTTGGGAAACTTGGTGCTCCAGGAAATAAGTGACTCGGGTTTCTAAGGTATGTGTGGGCACTCAACGCCCCTGTCGTGGCTGTCACAGCCCTCTGGTTTGAAGTCCTCCGTTTTGTTGCTGCTGTTTCTAACCTCTGTCAGCACTGCCTGGGAGTAACGAGTTCAAAGTCCCTAGTTCCCCACGTTTCCAAGTATGTTATGTGAAAGCCCTGGCAAGGACGAACCTGATTAAACTGGAGAAAAAAGGTGGAGCAAGCAAGACTAGGACATTTTTGTTTCCCCAGCTAAGCTGCCTGAGGTTCAGGGACTTGGACAGGTGAGAAAGGCATGACCACCACCTCAGCCCTGTCCCTGGAGGCTGGGGAGAAGGGGAAGCAGTGAGGAGACTGGCTGATGTCCTGATGCCCACGCCCCATACAGCAGTCATGAAGACTGAGTGGCCCCATGTCCAGAAAGCCCTCAGCACAGGGCCTGGCACTTGTGAATACCTCAATAAATGGTAACTTAAGAGAGCCTGTGGAGCCCCTCCCACTGCAGCCAGCCTCCAGCTGAGTTTCTGGCCTGAAGCCCAGGGATGGCCTGCACATGAATCAAGCAGGCTATTTCTAGAGCTGGCAGGGGGCTTTCTGTCCCAGGGGCAGGCGAGCCAATCCTGTGACAGGGAGAGCACAGGGAAGGGGTTATTCAAGTGGATTTGCACCATTGTATTCCAGTTTCCCTGTCCAGAGCTGCCCATGCAGGATCCTGGGGTGGGCAGGCCATCCAGGCAGATGGAAGGGGCACTCTACCTGGGGCTTTCCTGCTGCAGTGACCCCAGGGCCTGGGGTGACCAGGCTTTAGTGGGTGGGGTAGGCTCTGACTGGATGTGAGAGAGGACTTTGTTGTAGCCCAGTCACCTCTGTTCTCTTTCTGATCCCTTTTCTATCCCAGTTGGGCCTGAGCAAGCCTGGCTTGCCAGAGGCTTTAGAGCCATAAAGGCCTGGGTTCAGATCCTGCCCTTGCCTCTGCCTCATCGCCTGTGCTTGAACGAGAGACCTAACCTCTCTAAGCCTCGAATTCCTTGCCTGTGAAGTGGGAGTGATGGTAGTATCTACCTCAAAGTTGCTGTGAAGACGAAATCAGGTACTTGACCTTAGGAGGACTCGGAATAAATGAGCCATTCATCCTCTCCCTCTGAGCAGCTTTCCTGGTGAAGAGCAGCTAGACCCAGACCTGTGCTGCTGAGTGGGGCCAAATGAAAGTAGACTGGGATTAAACCTGTGCCACAGAAGAAGGAAAAGGAACATGTCCGTGCAGAGGGCAGCTGATACAATGGGAGGACCTGGAAAATCTCCCTACCCACTCAGCGTGCTCTGTAACAGCGATGACACCAGGCTCCAGGGAGAAGTGCTGCCAAGAGAGGGGTCTGAAAACAGATACAACGAGAAAACTGAAAGAAAACCCCCAAAGAACTGGTTTAATTAATAAGATTCATGCATTCCTGAACTCTGGAAAAGTGAAATGCTTACTGCTTATGAATTTGATGACAGTGGTTGTTTTGAGATTTTAAGTGGCCAGAGATTGACTAGCAGCCATTTAAAATATGTTCTTACCAGAAGAGAAGCTAATGCCACAAATCAGCTGACAAGTAGTGGGTAGTTGGGGTCCTTCTTTTTTTTTTTTTTTTTTTTTTTTTTTTTTTTTTTTGAGACGGAGTCTCGCTCTGTCGCCCAGGCTGGAGTGCAGTGGCCGGACCTCAGCTCACTGCAAGCTCCGTTTCCCGGGTTTACACCATTCTCCTACCTCAGCCTCCCGAGCAGCTGGGACTACAGGCGCCTGCCACCTCACCCGGCTAGTTTTTTGTATTTTTTAGTAGAGACGGGGTTTCACCGGGTTAGCCAGGATGGTCTCGATCTCCTGACCTCGTGATCCACCCGCCTCGGCCTCCCAAAGTGCTGGGATTACAGACTTGAGCCACCGCGCCCGGCAGTTGGGGTCCTTCTTGACCTATGGATTTGTTTAGCACTCAGATCTCTTGATAGACCACTTAGCCATGACAGGGCTCAAGTTTCCAACTCCATTTGGAGGAAAAGTGAGCATGTTAGGCTCAGGAACACCACACAGGCCCAGCCACCCACCCACTCAGCCAGGTTTTCATCCCTGCCTTCTTTCATCGTTTATGTCAAGGTATAGAGGTTGGGGTCACATTCTGAAATTGTGTATTGCCCAGGAATGAAAAACCAGGGCTCTTGGTAATTCTTTGAGTGTTTAAAGCCCCGTTTTAAAAGGAGATTTTAATTCCCTTTATAATTCTTCGAGTGTTTAAAGCCCCCTTTTAAAAGATTTTAATTCCCTTCCTCTGTTACTCTTGGGTGATGGGTCAGCTGTATCTCAAGAAATGACCCCCAGTTCCCCTGCGGGGGGACGACATGCTACCTGGTTTACAAAGTAGGGTTGACCAACTCTGGTTGCCTTGGCATGCGGCCATTCTGCAAGTTCTCTAGTACTTGTCCCTGTGAGGGTGAGGGCGTCCTGGGTCTGGAGTGGCAGGAGGGAGAAAGCAGCTGAGCTGAGCCCCCTCCTTCCATTCATCAGCAGCAATGGCAGGAGCACGGTTTCGCCAGTCTGCTCAATAGCTTCCCCCTGCTGTAGCCTTCCTGTGGTCCTGGGAGGCTAACTTTGCAGGGCCTGGGGTTTGCACCAGTCCATTCTCACCCCCTTCCCTCGTCTCCCTCCAGTGTATGTGGTAGAAGACCAAAGAAGAGATGAGCTGGGACCATCCACCTGCCTCACAGCCTGCTGGACTGCTCTCTGTTGCTGCTGTCTCTGGGACATGCTCACCTGACCAGCCCAGCCGTCCTGTCATGCCAGCTCTGCCGCCACCTCTGACAGGTGTGCCTGCCCCCGTCTCTTCTGATTGCTGTAACAAGTGACTAGCTTTGCACAGACACCTCTACCTTCAGCACTATGGGATTCTAGACTAGTGGGGGTTGCTACTGTTTAATTCAGTGACTTGATCTTTTTAATGTGCAAAATCCATTTCTTATTGATCTTTAAAGATGTGCTAAATGATTTTTTTGGCCAAAGGCTTAGTTGTGAAAAATATTTATAATTTTTAAATTATACATTCAAGGTAGTGGCCAAATGTAACGCACCATGGAATGATTTCTCTGCTAACAGCCTGTATGTTTCAATAAATTTGTCCAAAGCTCAACTGTCTTTCTAAATGATTCCAGGTCTAAGCTAAGCTACCTGGACTCTGTTACCATATCTAACTACTCATCTGCTCGCTAAGGCTTATCAAATGTGGGTATCTCAGCTGGTGGCCACCATCCAATATATGACCAGCAGCCAATCTACCTTTTTATTCTGGTGGTGATGCAAACAGTGTGGGTGCTACAAGGAAGGCCAGTTCTGAGGCCAGGTGTCCTCCAGCCGGGTCATAGGCTCTTAGCCAAGCTACTCTCCCCCTAGTCCCACTCAGAGATAGGCTGAGAGAGGAATGTTTGCAACCACAACTTGCACCTACCTTTACCCAGACCCTAGGAAAGGGCCTTTTGGTAACCAGGGGCTGCCCCTGGAGTAGCTTCCAGGCCTGCTCTCTGGAAACCCAGGAACCTACAGTTACATGGGGCCAGACAAGAGGTTTGAGGTTTTCCTTTTTTTTTTTGAGGTAGAGTTTTGCTCGTTGCCCAGGCTGGAGTGCAATGGCGTGATCTCGGCTCCCCACAACCTCCCCTCCTGGGTTCAAGCGATTCTCCTGCCTCAGTCTCCTGAGTAGCTAGGATTACAGGCCTGCACCACCAGGCCCAGCTAATTTTGTATTTTTAGTAGAGACAGGGTTTCTCCATGTTGGTCAAACTGGTTGGGAACTCCCAACCTCAGCTGATCTGCCCGCCTCGGCCTACCAAAGTGCTGGGATTACAGACGTGAGCCACCGCACCCAGCCAGCCGAGGTTTTTCCCTTCTGGCTGTCCCCTCCCACCCCTCTCCCCAGTTAGTCAGCCGTGCCACTCATCTCAACTTTGGCCACAGGGTGGCGCCGGGCTGCCACAGCAGCAAGTCCGATTTTCCTCCATCAGCTGGCCCGCCCTGGCCCAGCCAGCTGCAGCTGACAGCTCCCTGTTGACTCTGCCTTCCCTCCGAAGCAGTGGATGTGCTGATAAATGTTTACCAGTGCTCTCTCTAAGAAAAAAGAAAAAAAAACCCAGCCTTGTTTTGTAGCATGTCATGTGTCTTATTTCTGTGGTGTACGTGTTCCCACCATGCCATGGCTGATTTCAAGTTACCAATGTGATGTCACTGACTGGAGCTGGGCCAACCTCACAGATCACACTCATTGGAGCTGGGCCAACAGAGCCAACCTCACAGATCACAGCCAGTGCACAGATAGAGCACAGGTCGTGGTCAAATGTAGTAATATAATTAGGGATGCATTTTGAATATTTATTGTCCTTGTTTTTAACATAATTTGCAATTTACATAATTATAATGGCTGTGTTTAACAACTGGCTTGCAACAAAATTCTTGAAAATTGAATAACTGGCCCACCTGGGCTGGGATGAGCCAGCTAGAGCACACCATTGCCCCTCAGCCTCTGGGAGGCCTCAGGATTACAGCGTCCATCTTATGATATTGGCCAAAAGGAGACAGTCTTGGAGGTGCTGCTGACTGTTGAACTTCCTTTTGGAATGTATGGGAGAAGGCAGGGAAAGGAATCTTTAGGTAGACTGCCATCCAGGGACTGCTATTCTGTTCACTGAGATTCAGCTGTGAACGTCTGTTCTTTCTTCCTCTTCTGTCTACTACATGCAGGCCCGGAAGCTGAGGGGTTAGTCAAAGGTACAGGAAGGGAAAAGAGAAGAGGGCAAGAGCCCATCCCCCAAGAAAGGAAGGGCTCCGATGCAGAGGGAGCAGGAGCTGAGGTGGAGATGGCCACTGCCTCTCTCACCCTCTGTTCCATCCCTCTGCTGAAGAAAAGCAGGCTTAGCAGAGTGGGACGGATGCTTTTTATTGGTCTGGCTGGCATGCCTAGTGGAAAGCCCAGGCAGAGCTTCCTATCTTGCCCTGGCTCCCATCTTCCCTCTCCTGGGAGTTCATCACACACCCCGAGAGGGAAGAGTGTCCTGGGCAGAGGTGGCAGGCAAAGCCAGGGTAAAAACTCCAGGGCTTGGAAGCAAATGGGGCTCAGGGTGACGCAGAAAATGTGACGTTGCTAGGTCATCCAGATAAAGTGTCCATCGGGGCAGAAGAGAAGCTGAAGTTTCCCTGCAGAGACTCCTCTGCCCCCACCAGGAATGGGAGGGGCAGGAGGAAGAGCTTCCCCGAGAGGCTCCCTACTGGGCCCTTCGTGCCATCAGCATCTCCCGGATGTTGTCCTCAGCTTCCTTAACGCTCCGCTCCAGGTAGGACTTTTTCTGCTGCAATATGAGAGACAACGGTTAGGACCAGAGTGAATGGGCCGGGCTGGAAGACGCAGCTTTGACGTCCAATGGTTATGGCTTTTCCTTTGTGACGGGTGACTTCCAGGAGCATACTGTGAGCCAGGTACACACACCTGCCCACAGTGCTCTCCCCACCTCCGAACCATGGGTGATCATGGGCAGGCAACAGGGAGAAGATGGCTTTGGTACAGGAAGCAAAAGTGTTCTGTGGAAGACAGGCAGTAGCACTCTTCCCCTAGAAGGAAGCAGACTCTAAAAACAGGCATCTCGGTACACGAAGTTATCCCAGACAGACAAAGACCAGGAAATTCCAGGACAAAGCTCCTGTCCGTAACAGACTATCTCCTCTCAAGGTTTTCCATGGCCTGGGCCAGGCGTCTGTAGCCACTGCAGCTATAAAATGGACGGTGCATGCTCTGCCCTGTCCAGCAGGAATATGGGCTGCTGTGAGGGCTGTGGGGCTGTCTCACATTGCACTGCGGGGGTGAGTCAGGAGGCAATCTGCTTTTCTAATGAGACTGCTGCCTGCCAGGAATCCAGGACACTGACACACTGAGGTAAGCAGACCTTTTGGAGGCTTACCTTCTACCCCATCTGGGTCCTAAATTAAAAATCATGGCTTAGACAAAGAACTTTCACTACTTTCAGGAGCCAGGATTACAAAGATTAGTCAAAGGAAATGATGTCTGTACATTATTTGCCCTGTGCTCACCCCAGAAGTATGGTGGTTTTACCACTGGTCTTTGCCCTGAGGACATAGTTGTGGCTGTATTCCCAGTTAACAGACATGAAATGAAGCCTCCCTTTTTGAGGAGTATTATTCATGTCCTAAAGGAATACTCAAAATTATCACCTCCCAGGGCACATGTGACTGAGCCACACTGGAACCAGTAATGCAGTCACCGGGCAGCCCAGGCCCTTCTCTCACCTCAACCCCCTTCACCCAAGCAACTGTTGATTCTGTTCCACCCACTAAAGTGCCCACAGGACTCAGGGAAGCATGGAGAGGTTAGGGCAGAGGACAGGTGAGCTCTCCGTCCAATTAGTTAGTTGTTTGTTTGTATGTTTTATTTATTTTTGAGACAAGGTCTCAGCTCAGAGTGCAATGGTGCGATCATGACTCACTGTAGCCTCTACCTCCCACCTCAGCCCAAGTAGCTGGGACTCTAGGTACACTGGGACTGTAGGTGTGCACCACCACGCCTGGCTTTTTTTTTTTTTTTTTTTTGGTAGAAATGAGAAACTTAAATTTTTTATTTTTTGTATTGCCCAGGCTGATCTCAAACTCCTGGACCCAAGCGATCCTCCCTCCTCAGTCTCCCAAAGTGCTGGCATTACAGGCGTGAGTCACCGCGCCTAGCTGTTTATTAAATGATACATACAGAGGCTTCTTCCTACAGAAGCCAAATGTGGCATACACAAATCTTTATCAGTTCTTCCGTGAACCTCTGATTCCTGTCTGTCCTCTCCTTGCTTCAAATTTCCTTAAGGCTAGAAAGAACCCTCTTTACTTATCTCCCATCTGTCTAAGTTGCACACAATTCCTTGCGACACAACAGGAGCTCCATAAAAACTCATGGTGACCAGACACAGTGGCTCACGCCTATAATCTCAGCACTTTGGGAGGCCAAGGCAGGCAGATCACCTGAGGCCAGGAGTTTGAGACCAGTTTGGCCAACATGGCAAAACCCTGTCTCTACAAAACATTAGACGGGTGTGGTGGTGGGCACCCGTAATCCCAGTTACTCGGGGGCTGAGGCAGGAAAATCACTTGAACCCGGGAGGCAGAGACTGCAGTGAGCCAAGACCGTGCCATCGCACTCCAGCCTGGGCAACAAGAGCAAAACTCCAACTCATGGTGACCGTGATAACAATTCAATTCAATGCCTGCAAATGTATACGGTTGCTAAGGAATTTTAATTACACTGCTAAGCCAAATACAGTCCTATCACTGTGATATCAGAGTGGGAACTTAAACTTCCTTTGATAAACAACTCTTTTTGAGACAGAATCTCACACTGTTGCCGAGGCTGGAGTGCAATGGCGCCATCTCGGCTCACTGCAACCTCCGCCTCCCAGGTTCACACGATTCTCCTGCCTCAGCCTCCCAAGTAGCTGGGATTACAGGCACCACGCCAGCTAATTTTTTGTATTTTTAGTAGAGATGGGGTTTCACTATGTTAGCCAAGCTGGTCTCAAACTCCTGACCTCGTGATCTGCCTGCCTCGGCCTCCCAAAGTGTTGGGATTACAGGCGTGAGCCACTGTGCCATGCCAATAAACAACTCTTAGACTTTAACTATGGTGAGCTGAAAAAAAGGCAAATACTAGTAAGCCCTGACACACACTAAAGAATGTATGTTCACTGGGTGTCACACAGAGGGGAGCAACAGCTCAGTGCCATACACCACCTGGGCACCCTGTGGACCCTATGTGAATGCGGGGAAAGGTAAGTGGAATAAGCCTGCTTCTCCCCCTACAAAAGTCAGCCAGGGCCCAGGGACTCTGGTCTGTTGCATTCAGTCTCTGCCAACTTGCTGAAAACCATACACTTGGAACATCAACAAGAGCTCTTCTGCCCTCCCACCCAGGCTCCCCAGCCAAACTCAGGCTGTACCTCTCAGCTTTAAAAATTCCTTCTTCTGTAAAATTTCTGTCTTCTAACACTTTCATGAATTTTACCACTGCATATCCTAAAGTCTTCAGGTTTCCAAACAATGATGCAAATTAACGTATCTATCTGTATTTTTGTTTTGTTTCTAGAGATGGGGTCATGTTGCCCAGGCTGGCCTCAAACTCCTGGGCTCAAGCAATCCTCTTGCCTTACAGGCATGTCCCACGGTGCTGCCTTCATCTTTAAATTTTTAACTAGTTTAAATAAATGTAATAGACATGTCTTTAAAAAAATATATATCCCTAACATAGTGGACCTTTCTAACTGTATTTCAATAATTCCTGTCTCAGTCCCCAAGCATATTTAAGTCCAGAAAGACTCTCATCATAGTCAAACCCAGAACAAGGTACCTGTTGTGGGTTGAACTGAATTTGACAAAAAGAGATGCTGAAGTTCTAATCCCTGGTAATTTGGAAAGACGATCTTTGCAGATGTAACTAAATTAAGATGAGATCGTATTACATTAGGGTGGGCCCTGAATCCAATCATTAGCGTCCAAACAAGGCGCTGTGAAGACAGGGACACACGCAGAGGGAGAACCCTGTGCTGACTGAGGTGGGGACGGGGTAACGCAACTACCAGCAAAGGAATGCCAGGCACTGTGGGCAGCCACCAGAAGCTGGAAGACGTGAGGGCGGACTCTCCCCTCGACCCTTCAGAGGAAGCGTGCCCTGCAGCCCCTCGCATTTGTTGGGCTCCTGGCCTTCAGGACTGTGAGAGAATACATTTCTGTTGTTTGAAGCCACCAATTCGTGGCAAGTAGAAAACCAACACAATACCTGAAATGAGGGATGCCCCCACACGTCAGTTCTACCATAATTATTTGGGGATAAGTATGACCCTAGCTTATAAAGTTTTAAGGGCAGTTACCCAGGCCTCTGCAATTCAGTGTGGTCAGAGGCATGGCAGGATTGGTCCTGTGAGTACAGAAGAACCTTGGGAGGCCTCTGTCTCCAGGGGTGTCTTAGTCTGTTTGTGTTGCTCTAAAAGAATACCTGAGGCTGGGTAATTGATGAAGAAAAGAGGTTTATTTGGCCCACAGTTCTGCGGGCTATACAAGCATGGTGCAGCATGTGCTTCTGGGGAGGGTTTCTGGCTGCTTGCACTCGTGGTGGAAGGCGAAGGGGAGCCGCCTGTGCAGAAATCATGTGGCCAGAGAGGAAACGAGAGAGAGGAGGTGCCAGGCTCTTTTCAACAGCCAGTCACTGAAGAAACTAAGCATAAGAACTCACTCACTCCCATGAGAATGGCACCAAGCCATACACAAGAAACCCGCCCCCACAATCCAAACATCTCCCACCAGGCCCCACCTTCAACACTGGGGATCAAATTTTTTGCAGGGAGGTCTGGGGGTACCAAATTTCAATAAGAGACCTGCCAGGGGGCAAACAAACCCTATGCACAACACAGCAGGGGCATCCTTCATTTCCAGTGTGGTGCTGTGCCCTTGGGTAAGGGTACAAACCCCATTTAAAGGGCTCTGCCCTCATGACCTCCTCACCTCCCAAATGGCCACACCTCCTAACACCATCACCTCAGGAGTTAGGATTTCAACAAAGACTTTAGGGAGAAACAACTCCTCACACCATAGTACTTTTCAGCTTCCAAGAAGCCGTGCTAAGTCTCCGACCTCATCTCCAACAACTCTTCCCCGTCACTCCTTCAGCTCCAGCCACACGGGCTTCCCGTGCTGCTCCTCCAATCCACCAGGTATGTTCCTGCCTGGCCTTTGCCCTTTGCTATGCTCTCCATGTAGAAGTTCTCTTCACCAGATATTCACATTACTCATCCCCTCACTTCCTTCAGGCCTTTCTCAAATGTCACCTTATATGCGAGGCCTTCTTGAGTATATGCTGCCCAATACTCCCTATTCTCCTCACCTTGACTCTTCTCCAGATCTCTTTCCACCACAGGAAGCAGAAACTGTCTGGCTTCCCTATGAGAAGGAAAAGTCCACAAGGGCAGGACTTCGTTCTGTCACCTGATACAGTCCTGCTGTCTAGAAGAATGGCTGGTACATAAAAGGAACTCGATGCTTGTTGAATAAAGTGCTTTAGTGTGGGAAATGAAGCCTTACTGATGTACACACACTTTTCGGTTTTCTCTTCCAACCTGAATAATCAAGAAACACCCACCAGAGGAAGCAAAGGCAGAAACTGACCATTTTCCTTCAAGGTGGTTTTTGGCTTTTGGCATTGCCCTATCACCCCTGCCCCTGGATATACACAGATTTAAAACTCCAACCTATCACTACAAACAATGTCAAGTATTGGAGGTAATGAATATGTTAACTAGCTTGATTT